GGATAACATTAAATATGATATTATAGGATTAGCAGAAGGGAGAAAATTGGGTTATGGCATTCAGGAATGTTACAAATTTATGTGATGCTATATATTACGCTATGCTATAACATGGAGTTGGCTTTGTCATAAAAAAAGAATCTTAAACCCTGTTTCAAAAGGTTCAAAGAACTTTCAGACCGAATACTTATAGATGTAGAGATAAATAACCAAAAAAAATTTATCATTCAGGTATATGCACCCACAGAAGTATCAGAGCAATCGCAAATCGATATGTTCTACAGCATTCTACACGAAGAACACGAGATTGCAAATAGAAATATTATAGTAATGGGTGATTTTAATGTTAAAATAGGAAAAACGCATCATAAAAACTGCAAACTACTTGATAAGTTTGGCTATGGAAAGAGAAACCCAACAGGACAACAACTAATAACTACGCCCAAGAAAATAATCTGTCAATTATGAACACTTTCCTCAAGAAAAAACCTAATAAAAATAGACATGGATACATCCAGATAAGAAAACTAGAAACGAAATAGATCTCATACTTACAAACTTCCCAACCTCATTCCAAGATGTACATGTTGTAAATATAAATATTTATGCACTCATCATAAACTGGTAAGATCGAAAACATTATTCAAATCAACGAAATAAATTACAACAGCTCTAGTAACTTATTTAGAAATTCAAACGAAAAAAGTCATTAATAAACTTAAGAAAAACATCAAATCGATAAAAATTGACAACATTTGTTCCAGTCAAACTCTATCTATACAATGAATTAGAAAACTGTATATAAGATAGTATAAAAATTGATAAAACAGATAAGAACAAAGTTTTAACTAAAGAAATTCTAGACTTGATCAAACAACGCCATCAACTTTAAAATGTTAAACGCAAAACAGTCGATGATAAAATAACTAAGTGCTATGCACAAAAAGACAAACAAAAATATTAGAAAAAAACTACAATAATTACAGATCCAAAGTAATAGAAATCGAGTGGAAGTTGCAAACGTGCATTTAAAGAACTATGTGTAATTAAAACAGTCTGACAGAGAACTCCAGAACAAATAACAGAGAAAACATACTTCGAATAGCGAGCAACTTCTACAAAAATCTGTATGATCAGAAAGAAGAACAAAAGACATACAAGTCTTTTCACAGAAAGAACCAATTACTGACTGGAATGAAAAAGAATTGGAACATCAAATAAAAAAAATAAAACTAGAAGAGATTCCAGGTCCAGATGGTATTCCAAATGAGGCCATATAACTAGGCAGAATTTTGTTAATACTTATTATAAGTTTCTTATTTAACACTATTAATAAATAACAGAAAGTTCCAGAACAATAGACCAAATCAAATATTATTTTACTATACAAGAAAGGCGATCCGAAGTAACAAAGGCAACTATTGACTGATAAGCCTAATACCCTATCTCTATAAATTGTTTTCATCTTGTATACTAATGCTAAATTACAACTTTTTTGAGCTAAACTGCGGACGGCCGGGCGGGCATGGCCGAAATTATGAGGGTTCCAAGTTTATAACGCAACCCTAAAAATTACTAAAATAAGGTAAAATGATAAATTCATAAACATAAAAAGATTTTTGAAACTCTATACGCCATTGTCTGTCCCTATCTATCGCATTGTAGGGCACGTTTATTTCGCGTCGAATACTTTAACAACTGCGTCATTAATAGCCAGTTTCACCATCGTCCATTAAAATTTGTTTAAACCGATATTACCGATACAAATTTTATTTCATCCAATTACGCTAAAGTTTGACGCCTTTAATGTTTAACATTAAAGGCGTCAAACTTTAATGGATGATTGTGCGACTGACCTTACGGTCACAAAGTAGTAAGTAGTAGTTCGTCGGTCCTGTTAGGTCTTGGATTTTTCGGTGATTAGAGCAGTCGCCCGGATTGCAAAAGGTCGTGGGTTCGAATCCCATCACATATTTTTCATTAATAATATTTTCCAGTATAGCATCGTGAATGCAAAATTGATCAAATATAGTAGTAATTACTTTTTAATAATAAAAATAAATTAAAAGCTTACAGTTGTTCCTTTTGAAGGTCTGGTAGTCGTTTTAATGAGGTCCTTCTCTTTGCCTGCATGAAATGTTTTACACCAGGTATCTTCAGAATTTTCAGATCTAGATATTATTTTAACATTTCTTGATACATCCACGATGTTCGAAAGCGCTAGTCCATGGAAGCCATAAGTGTTAGGAGCAGCTTTAAATTGTTCCAAATTAGTATATTTGCTTGTAGCATACTTTTGTCCGAGTAGCCTAAAATCTTGTTTCGCCATCCCACATCCATTATCTATGACTTGAATTTTATTTTCTTGGATATGAAGTCTGACAGCAATAGAAGTTGATTTACCATCCAATGAGTTATAAACCTGGACATAAATAAACAAATTTTAACTTACACCCTTATATTCAATGTCCATTGATTATCTTTTATTTAGTTAAATGTTTATGGAAATATTTTTTGGTTTACCATTTCTTCAACTGCTGTTTTGTAGTCGGTTATTTTACTATAACAGAAAATAGTCTGCATATGTTCCGAAAGCTTTTTTATGGCCATCACGACATTATATTTATAAACGAATACTGTTTGCTCTTTTTTATCGGTATATAAGATTTATTGTTAATCCATTTGAAATGATTCACAAACTACATGCACAAATCTCAATTACAAAGAGAATATACAAAAAAATGGTAACAAAGAGAGCCCCTATTAAAATAGGTTATAATAGTATTTAATCTTTTTAGATACATGGAGGTTTTACTAAATTGCCAAAGATTATCTGCAATACAAGAGGCGTTCATTCTATATAGGAATAAAAATAACCATAATTCCAATTTAAACTATTATATTTTCGTGAAGTATTTATTATATTTATACGGGAATCGAATCATACACATTCAGTAATAATAGTTGGCTGACCTTAACCTTACTGGGTTGGAATCCCCGAAAACGTGCTGCAAGCTTTTAAGCTATTGCTCATCGTTCCCCTTACTTAGTAGTCGTTTTCTAACCAAGTCAAGTCTATTCGATAGTTTGCTAATAAATTACTTTTGCATTTTACTGTCCAACCTATGAATAGCGTGATGGTAATAAATATTCAAAAAGTAGGTTGCAGGTTTTAATCGATTTGTTATTTAACCCTCAATTTAGACGTATTCTATCATGGAACAGTTGTAATGTAACAGTCCACATGACTGTAGCCATCGTATGTTCCGATCGCGTGTTATTACAAATAATTATTGGAACACATGAAAAAAAAAACAAAAGTTACCAGATTCTATGTGTACCGTGTATGAAGCAGTAGTTATATTAGTTCGATAGTAAAGACAAATTTAATTGACCGCAAATGATTTTTGTGAATATTACTTTTCGAGATGGGTGACCTATTACAAGAAGAGATAAAATTGTTTTGGGAATACGTCAAATGGTAAGTAAATTAAATATCAGTCATAAAGAGATTTGCTTCTTTAGAAAACAAAGTGAATGTTATCATTTTGGTTATTCAAAAATGCGTATTTGTAGAAATGAAACTGTATTTACACTTCCTGTTTGTGTATCAATGTTTCGATGCCATTGGTTCAAATAGAGGAATTAAAGAGTCTGAAGCAACTTTTGCGAATATTTTTATGGATAGAAGATAGGCATTATTTACCTATAATTATCTCTGAATGTATCTCATTTCTTCGTATTTAAAATTACTTTTATTTTATGACACAATAATGAACTTTTAAATAATTAATAGAATACTTTATTTACCTTAACAAAAGTTTAATATCTAACCTAATAGAATATAAAATCTTTGCTCCTGTTATTTTTTATTTTAACAAAACCTTAATGCTAAGTAAAATAAAAAGTTTATATTTTAATTATATTTAATATGTTTATTTTTTATATTTCTTGTAGAATGCAAACAATTGATTGTGTTGAGATGTGTATGACCTACAAACTAATGGGGTGGGTTGATATCGATGGAATAATTTATACGATCGATAGAGACATACCTACATACTTTCATCTTTGTTTGATTTTTGTATACTTTGTATTAATTCATATATAATAGGAAAGATTTGATTGTTTCTTTGTTTGTTGTTAGTTTGCACTGGATAGGCTCCGCAACTATTCTTATCCATTAAAAAACAATTACCCACAGGAAGATATATTATACGCGGGTAACATAGGCTCTAATTAACGCGGGTGATATCATGGGAAAATAGCTAGTAATATTATAAAGACGAAATATTTGATTGTTTCTTTGCAATAAATTGGCTCCGAAACTATCGGAATAATTTTAAAATATTTCATAACATCACATAGTTTACATTGCTCATCTGAGCTCTTAAGTTATTTATTACGTAAGCTATAGTATTAATGAACTCTGAAACAATTAAGGTACCACAATACCTAGATCCTAGACAACATAGAAAAGTTCATTGTCTATATTGAAATTGACTCGACAGAGAATCGTACCTAGGACATAAGCAATGGCAACACCTTGAAACGGGTGTATCGACCACTAGGCCACAGAAGTCGTCCATACTTATTTCTTGACGGTTATATTAATTGAGTACTTGTAAAGTCAGTTTCTCAAACGTCCATTAAAATTTGTCATTAAAGCGACATTACACATACAAATTTTACATTAATTACAGCTTAAAGGCGTTTAAACATTAATGGGCGTTTGTAAAACTTACCGATAAAATCAGTATGATCACTTTATGGATTTAACGACACAAATCATTGTCACCAAGTATTAAATACTCATAAGCATCGATTGAAAGTTATTTTGATACGAAATTATCTATCAACTGGGTCATCTTCAAAGTTTTTAAATATTTGATGTATTCGATTCAAAGAGACTTTATAAACCCACGTCTTTAATTAATAAAACATGTTTTGAAAGATATACTCATTGCGTGATTATTTAAAATACATTTTCTGTATATCGATTTCACAAATAGAAAAAATTAAAAACATTAAAATAATTATTATCAACAAAATGAGTCAAGAAACGAAATTTATCGACTTCATTGTCAAGACTCTAAGAGTTGTCCTATCTTAAGTATTTGTCTGCTGCTGCTTCTATGAATAACAAAACAATGCATTGAGATAAACAAAGCAAGGGACTCCTGGTTAAAAAAATGGCACTACTATAAATACAAATAGCAATTTCAAAATTGCATCAGTCCTTAAGGTGAAATTGTGAGAGAAGGAGCAAACTAACTTCTTAAAGGTAAGCACTATTCTATTAGTCAACTTAATTACTAATGCATCAAATGTTCTATCAAAGACATATATATAAGTTGTATGTTTTATTTATGGATTTGATTTTCAGATGTTGGGAAAGGCATTAATTCTGTTAACTGTCGTTATTATTGCGAACTCAGCGGAAATGTCATCGTCATATGCGATGTTAGAAAAGCAAGCGAATTTCAAGCCAGATTTGAAAACTGAGCCAGTAGCAAAATCTACGAGAGATGAAGTTTTGGAACCGGTACGTCATCCAATATTCAGAGCTGAGGAACATAATAATAGGCGGGCGAAGATTGAACCAGTAAGACCAACGGGGCCTGTGATAAAACACGATAGAATGTTGTCCGACCAACCATCAGACGTATCAACGGAAGTTAATAGAATCGTAAGTAAAAGTGCTTATTGAGATAATTAATTGAATTTTGTATCATTACTGATGGCGTTAGCTCTTACGGTCTGCGGTGCGGAAGTTGATCGACTTTCGCAAGGGCCAGAAAAAGATACAATTTATTAACATCAACCAGTCCACACCGAGGCCACGTGGTGGTTCATGACCCATGCCCCATTAGTGGGGACGTTAATAGGCTGGTGATGAATTTATGCCTTAAAAGATTTTTTATGGCATTTTTATGTGTAACCGCAATGGATTGAATAAATCCTTCTTTGAAAAATCTTTTTGTTTTAATAAATTTACATGTTATTCTAAGTTTGCATGCTAGTTAACCCGTCAAATGAAAACTTCTCCACGGATTTTGATAAAACGAAAACGCACTTGCAAACTAAATTACATTAAAGTTTAATACCATCAATTGTAAAGATGTATGTTATTTTCTTTTCAGGATAATCTTGCCATTCCCGGTTATGGTTACGTACCAAATCCTGTGGAAGTTGCATATCCCGATATCCCTTATGCCCCTGGATACAACTACGATAATGGATACTCTGCTTCTAACAGGTATATTTATTTGTAACTTATTTTCTGTTTAATTATTCATTGTGATATTTTATTCTGAGCCGACATATAAGTAAGGTCTATACGAGAAATAAGGGGTACTTTTACAGCCTTTTAATACGAAAGGTCGCATCACCTTTGTGACTTGTAGTTATTTAATTCTCAACATTGCTTTCAGCTACGATATGTACGGCAATAGTCCAGGTCCGTACTATGGAGAGCCAGACGTATCACCATTCAGTATGTTATGGGGTCAAGTTCCAGATTCTAGGGTAAGACAAATTTAAATGCAACTAGTGTTATTATATTGGCTATAACTTTTGTTTTCAAATAAAATGTCCATAAAAACTTATTTGAATCAACAGCCGCCAAATTATACAGGATATATCTTGAAAATGTATGATTACATAAATTAGATAATGTTGTTTTTATTAAGATGTTGCGTTTATTTTATAACATCTTCAATATGAAATCCAGCTATTTTATTTTTGAAAACTCTCAAATTTACAAATTAATGTTTATTTTCCAGACTATCGTCAGCTACGTCGGTAGAACAATATCCTGGGTCTTCAGCAGTTTCTTCGTGCTCTTTCTCGGTTCTCTTATTACCATTGGAGTTTGTACTTATACGGACCTATGTGTTATTCATTTCAATGGTGTTGGCCCCATTCACGAGGAGATGAGGTCAATTATTACCCCGGAACGACTGGAGAAAATAAGCAATGCCGCCGATTTTGTAAAAACCGCTATCAATAAGTATCAAAAGATTCAGACTGTAGCTGACGTAGCGGCAAGTAGACGACGTCGTTAGATAATGTTTTAAAATAAATACTTATCCTGAGTAGGTAATGTTATCATTTTTAAATTAAGTTTTTTATGTTAAACAGAACTTAAATAAAACAAAATTAATATAAATACTTTTGTGGTTTTATTCATAATTTAAATGATTTATAGGATTTAGTACCTACTTAATAAATATGTTGATTTTTATGTTACAAGATGAATTTGTTTTCTGTGCATAATTATTTTCCTATGGTTTACTATCGATAAATATAAAACATATACCTATATGAAGTTTATGTAAATTATTTTGAAATTGATTTATTTTTTTAATAATATTAACAATTACATGTGTACTTTAAAAGTAATGAACAAACTGTACCTACAGTTGACAAAAAAGTGCATGAAGTTTCGTGTACAGTACGGAATCATAAGAAGCAACGTATTTTAAAACATTTTTTCTTTTTTTTCCTGATGTTAGCGGGTTTTTTTTTACTTGCGAGAGAAAAGGATGGCAATTAGGTTCAGCGTGACAAACATGAGTGCACTGATTACAGTTTTTTTAAATTTACTCATTTATTAAACGTTGCTATTTAAAAATTAAAAACAAAATATAATTCAGTGATTAATATACATATCACTTTATTTATCACACTTTGCTTATCACAAGCTTAGAATGTGAACCCAAAAATAGGATGAACAAACTTGAAATAATAAAAATAAAATCAAATGTTATAAATAAATAATTTAATGATCTCTTTGGTTTTAAAACTTATAACATAAATTATTTCACTAGGTATGTACATATTTCACTTGTGGTATTTTTCGTAAGCTTGCCTGAAGAAATATTCTACATTGTCGAGGTAAGGAATATTGAGAGATCTTATTTGTGTCACAAAGGGTTTTTCTATAACAAGGGTGCAATATGGAGTGAATGCACAGAATCCAACGACTAATGCTGCTCCAGCTAGCATAAACCCTGAGTTGGAGAGTAACCATGCACCTACTGACAAGGCTTTTGAGGCTATTGTTGCGAGAAAAGTCTGTAAAAGAAAAAAAGATTATTAATAACTAGCCTAATTTAAGTATTTGTTATTTTTGTACCTGACGTCAATATTATCTATAAAAATTAATAGCTATTGTTAATGAAGTTGCTAGATATATGAAGTCTGGTACATAAATGTAAATTATGAATTTATTACGTAACATTAAACTTCTGTACAGATCGTTGGTTTTATACAAAAGTTTTTATATGTTGATATTATCTAATTGTAATTGTATATAAAAAAGTGAATTACTTACAATAGGAGTGGGTAGAGGAATTATGTCGAAAAGAGACAAAGAGTCTCTTGGGTCGTCGTATTCTGCTAACGCGTACTGATCTCTTGGTACAATCTCGAAGCTAGAAATAAAATTAAAAAAAAGTGAGACCACATCCTATGCAAAATTTGATTAAAATGCATATTTTAGAAGCACAATCTGCTTTTGTATTCTGTAATAGTACAGCGCCGTATAAAGCGCTATCACATCATATAGGTTCAATCAAATAAAACCTTTATTACTTTTTAAAGTAGATTTTCATTGACCAAACCAAAAAACCAAAGATATTATGGAATTGTATTTAACATATCCAAGATGTTAATGAAACTTACTCATAGTTATTCAAGGGCAGTTCTTCTGCAAATTTGCGTGTCATCGCAGTACTCCGATGTTCAGGACGTAAGTATGTAGCAGCGTAAGGGTGTGGTATTGCTGCTGATACAGAGCCGGTGAAATAGACCAAAGCAATATATAGTAGTAAAGAAGCCATCTAAAACAAAGAGAATATATTACTTGGTGTTAGATATTTTATAAAGTTTTATAGATAATGTTTTTGAAATTTTAACAGAAATTTCATTAATTTTTTAAAGTAAATCTTAAATAAAATATCAATATTGTGAATGAAATATTCTTAAATATTTCATTCATAAATACCTTTATAGATTTGATAGTTCGTGGTAGTCTAAAATGTCTTTGTTTTCGTTCACTTCGGTGCAATCTAATGTTAGAACAAGACTAGTGCATTATTACTTGACATCTAGTTTTATATTGGCAAAATAATCTATTAGTTAATGACATTCGCTTTCCCTAATTAAGTAGTGACTATGCAAAACGACTACAAGGTAATTTATGCTTAAGGAATTCCAGAAATGTTTATGTTATGAATAGGTACATATTGAAACTGGAGAATCTATGTTTTAAATAGGTGAAGATACCTACAAGGAACTTTTATATCCTGCGAATAAATCGCTATTTGAAAACTTAATAGGAGGAGGTTTTTTTTTGTATAGTATTTCAATACATAGATATGTATTTGGGATGTTTAAGTTTAATTAAATATGTATTAATGGTGATTTAAACATAAAAAACAAAGCTTTTAATATATCGTTATTTGTTGCTTAATTCGTTATTCGCCGGAAGAAGCAACAACTGTCATAAGATTTTTAATAAGCCATAGAAGAAGTGGTGTCATTTCTCATTTAATTTACCTACCCGTAAAAGCCCTCGTGGTTTTTTATACTTTGAGTCTTAAAGAAAACTGCTCCCTTATGTGGAACTTCAAAGCGTTCTAACGCATATCAAATATATTACTTTAACATGAACGGTTCCTGAAACATTGAATTACAGAAAAATTAACAGCATCATCAGCTATGATGTGTTAAAATTAACTTCCGATTAAAACTTAAATAGCCCAAACTGGATCATAATATAAAAAATGGCTTCAACCGCGTAATCTGCCCTACCTGTTCCTTTATAATACTTCTACGACTTTAAAAAGAACTTGACAATATATTCGCAATAAACTCAAATCTCGTCAAGTCATCGTAAATTATCAAGTTAACAATCAAAATCGAATAAATTAAGTAATATCAATTTTCTTATATTTATTTTTGTGGGCAGTGATTTAAAGTAATTATAAAATGTGTATGGTCCTTTTGTTTCGATATAATACAATTACCTTAAGTTTACATGTATCCTATATCTAAAACCTTGTTACCGAAACAATTATTGTCTAAAATTTGGAACAATGATCAATCGCAGATCCCAAAGAAAAATCAATGTGTAGAAAAGGTAAAAGGTTTGCAATACTACATTCATTTTCAAGCCCATTGAGTTCACAAAGCGGTTGCGATTCTGATATTTTTTCAACATAGATATTCTCTACAATGTAATATGTTTGAATATTTAAAGATAGAGGATGACTGAGTTGCCATTGTTTTATAATTACAAGAGGTGCGAGCGCTTAATCTTCTAGGCATAATTCTAGTCTTAGGATACGACATTTCAGCGATGATTAATTTTAGTATAATCTATTTATTCTGAAGGAAGTTACGCGGAATTGTGACTGAGCGGCACTTGTCCACCTCCTAAATACCACGCTCTCGTAGAATTATATGAATGGAGCTAATGTAAAATTGTTTGCAGATTCTTCAAATTTTTAAAATAAAACAAAAAGCCACAATCGTCTTTGTGGTCTTATTCGTAGGATACGACGCTAATAAATTGCATATTTATAATAAATCATTCGTGCTTCAGAAAGAAAAGTTGGATCAACTCTATCATTCTCTTAACAGCTCACAGAGCCTATTGTTTTACAGGATTGGCCTTTCAGTTCGCCACAGAAACAAGAGATTTTATAAATCAATTAAAGTTGGGTTTAGTAGTCAGTGCTTAATATTTTTTTTATAAACTTTACATCTCTAAATGAATCGTAACACATTCTTAGTGAAAAAAAAAAACAAGAAATATTTCTTTGCAATGTTAATTAAAGGGTATTGAATCAAAATTCGTAATGTAATAAGTTATAGTATGACACTTAGGTCCGAGTTTGTTGTGTTAGGAGAGTGACGAATACTTTTTAACCGATTTCAAAATCAAAAAGGTGGAGGTTCTATGTTCGACTGTATGACTTTTTTGTATGTTCACAAATTCCTCCTTTAACTTTAGGGTGATTTTTAAAACTATTATTATTATAATTTATCAATTATGCATTCACAATGCTATACTGAAAAATGTTTAAAAATTCTACCCTTCGCAATATGGGCGACCTGCGGCTTCCTTATCAGAGTGTCTTAACAAAGCGGATTTTATAAGCATTTTTCAATAAGAATGATTCTATTATTATTTACGTGGTAATATAAAATTACTATCAAAATCAGTTTTGTTTTTATATCAAAACTACTCTACTACTACTACGCGACTCCACCCGCGAAAATTATAGTCTATGTTACCCGCGTCACATTAAAAATATTTTTAATTTTTGTATATTGGTACTAAGTTGGAAGCACTGCTGTCAAATCCAAATCGATCATTCTTTATCATTTTTCGTTGCTATTAAAGGACGTGTAGCAGTAAAATAAAACGTAATAACGCTATAAAATCGCTAAAATGTTCTATGGTTATAGATACAGCTAGAGGAGTTAGGGGATCGCTCCGCAGAACACCGTGAAATATTATGAGATAAAGGAATGCATACATTTATATTCTACCATTATCAGCCGAGGTATTTATTACGAAAGTTCTTGACAAAAACTCCGTCCGTAGCAACAGGGATATCAATAGACTGAATATAATCCTAGAAATTAGATACTTAATTTTCTGAACCTAAAATCCTGCTCCTTAACCATCCATAAGGATGGCCTGACTCCTGCAGTGGGGACTTAAAAGAGCTGATGATGATGGTAAACCTAAATATTAGAAAACACCACATTTGCGCAATATGACATGACGAATTTAAAACCGCTTCAATTAAAATATTTGTATGACTATTCGATACATTAGCTTAATGCAAAATTTCGTAATGGGGTAATTGTGTTACTGAATGAATAATAACTTAGTTAATGAGCACTTTTAATTGAATTTCCCAAGTATATAAGTTATTGAGGATATCGAAAAATGACCATTATTTTTAGTGCCTTTGTAATTTATTGTTGTATTAGTAACTTGTTTCATAAAATAAGGTAAGATTAACTTTATATCTATTTTGATTGAAGATATATTTTGTCTTTAATGCCTTTATTGCAATATTTTTGTTTTATTTTTAGATGTTGAAATATTTGTCATTTGGAATCATTCTGATTGCCGCTGTTTCGGCCGTACGCGTAAATTTCCCAGAATTGGACAATTTTATAGAGCCTCATGATGCTTATATACCGGTAAGTATAAAATTCGATGTACTTGTTTGTCTATACACAATAATTGCTTAAACCTTATTTTAAAATTCTACTTTCAATAAATTTATTTATAGAAATAACTAGACTTCAACTTCTCAATATTCAAATAGGTATTTTGAGTTTCAATTCTATTTTATTGCAACATTTGTCTGTTTTTACTGTTTCTTTGTATTAGATTTACATTATTTTTTATATTATATATACAACGTAATTCTTTTTTATGAAATAACCGTTTGCAAGTGGGCTTTAAATAATAACAAAAAGTAATTTGTATGCTTTATTTTGTTAAGATAAAACACAGTATTGTTTTTTGGATTCGATGAGCAATATCCATCAAACAGAAGTAAGCGGTAGCAAAATGTAAAGAATGTCACTTAATTTTATCAAACAAAACGTAACTTCAGCGTATCTTTAAAAGAATCTCCTGTATTTGTCATCGTTTTCTCACAGAGATGAGTCAGATGGTAGAGACATTTATTTTAGCGACAGTAAGAGATAGTGCCGATAGTATACATATCCTTTTTTATGTTTTCAGGGATTGTCACTACCTTACCCTTATCAGGACAATAGAGTACAGTTTGTGGATTCTGAACGCTACAATATTAAAAGATATGAACCTGTAGTAGTACCGGTTCCCACGGTTCCTGCTACCGATGTGGTAGTGCCAGTGGTTAAATCGGGTCTTATTTCATCTTGTTTATCTGTAAGTATATCCTATGTTTTAGATAATTGTAGCCTAGGCCTTCCCTATGAATGGCCTCGAATCGAAAATTTAATAACTATATATTTAAATAATAATATTATTTGAAAGTTATTGATTTTATTTTAATTTTCCATGTATTTATTTAACATTAGTTCTTTGCATAATGATTTATAATACAGGATACTTGATGGTATTTGTATTTTTTTTTCTAGTTTGCTATATCATTGGCGGGAGCAGTAGTCAAGTTTATCATCAAGAATGCTCTAGCTCTAATCATCGGTACTTTCGCTGCAATCGGTGTTTGTAAACTAACTCCAATATGCAATAAACTATCTTCCATAAATTCTTTTACCGACGCTTCGAGAGACTTGAGCATTTACGCGACGCCAGAAAGAATCGCCAGAGCTGCCGAATTCATCGATCATGCCATTAAAAAATACAGATCTTATCAAAACCAGTAAACATAAGCGATATTTTTAAGATTGTATCTATATCAGTGAATAATAATTTAATTTATTTATAAAATAAAGTTTTAGCTGTTACTTTTCAACTTTTATTTTACCTAAATAATAAAAAAACAGACACTATTAACTATGAACTTCTCACATCAAATGCATATTTGTACAGACAGTGAATTTGTAAAAATATATAACATTCTTTCAAGTAGTTCTTCGATAGTAATATTAGTATAGGCAAAGGAATCTAAAACCACTAGAAGTCAATAGAAGTCAATTAGAATTACACAGAGAATCATAATGTGACTTTGTTTTGAAAAAGTAAAAACAATACTTATGTAAAGGCTTTTCATATATTCATGTATTCAAGAAGCTTCAATTGAAGTCACGTGGTGATTTTCAGGCTAAAAATATGGAAACCTCAATAGAAGTTTCTTGAATATGAATTGCTTTAAGGAAAGTATTGTTTTATCTTTGTCGAAGCCAGTGTGATTAAAAATATATTGCAAAATAGTTGAGCGATATTTTTACTCCAATGACAAAAATAATGTCGTCCTTGTAAACAGAATTTGGAAGAACTTATTTATTTTTAATAATATATTCATAACATTTTAATACTTCTTCTTTTTAATTGATGGAGTTGCCCTGTGGATTTCGCCAGAATCCAAGATTTCAATACAAACGTTTACACCGGTTATTGTTTTCACAGTAATACAAAAAGCCGTCATATTTACCGAGTAATATTCACTCCTAGAAGAGAGTAAGGTTGCTTATTCTCTGTATAATATGAATTTGGACTAATATTAAAATTGTATTTTTAGAGCAAATTTACTCTGACGGTAAAACTTGTTTATTAATAGCACTAAGGATGAAAATATTTACCTATTTGATACATTTTTTCTAGCATTGTATACATTATTTATCCAGGCGTTCCACATCACTTTAACAGGGAACCTGTAATGGATCCGTAACGTGTGAAAATTTTTAAATTGTTAGTTTGATTTAAGGACAGAGTTCTTTAAATACTTTTAGTACTTCTGGCTCCTCGATTATAGGAAAACTTTGCTGTTTTACAGCACGTGCTTAGGATCTCATCTTTCCTTAGTTTCTCCTTAGTTTATTCTTTAGTTTTATAACAATAAACTAAGCTTATGATTGATGAATAGATCTTTTAGTGAATGGCTGAAGATCCTGAACAAATGAAAAACTAAATATTCTAAAAATCGTCTTTATTATAATCTTATTTGCGCGACCTTTTTTGTTTATGTAAAATAACTATGTTATACACATATATTTTTGGTAATCGCAAAAGTTCTTGAAGGGCAGGACAGCAAATCATACTTTTACGTATTTTTAAATTTGTATTAATTTAAAAAAAAATAAACAAAATATCATATAAATAGTTTTTGAATATATCCATTACAAGCCAAAAAATATTTTTTCATGATATTCGTATGAATTTGCTACCTTTAATATTGTTTTTGCGATTTCAACCGCGTAAATTATAGACTATACCTACCTGCGTATAATGCACCTTCCCGTAGTTGAAAGAATTTTAAAAATTGCTCCAGTTATTTTAGGGCTTATTGAATCAAAACAAGCAAACAAGAAATTAAATCTTTCTTCTTTATATTATTAGTGTAAATAAACAGACTTCAAACTTTAAAAATATTTCATTATTTTGAGAAATTGCTATTGAATTCTAGCTAATCTACAGAAAACTTCCGCCTACTTCAATTGCAGTTTCTTGAATAATTAAAATGAAACCTCTTTCTTTAAGCACTTTTTTAAAGTTCGAAATAATACATTGATTTCTTATATTTTCACGTTCATTATCCATAAGTATAACAATTTTTAAACGATTTTATCCCGTTTGTTTTTTTTTTTTAAGTTTCGTACCCTTTACAGTTTTCGTGTTCACATAAGACTAACACCCATTTTCAGTAACCTAGAACAAGGCATAGCTTAACTAGAAAACGCCTAATGTTACGAATCGCTCAAGCAGATTAGTTTAATTTTAAATATATAGTTTTTTCTTTTATCCTTTGACATATTTATGACCGGTCATATATGCAAATGCCTAGGGCAAGGCACCGCATAACGCATATCATAACTTTAGACTTTGCTTAATTCCGTAAGGTGGTTCCTAGTTAATGGTGAAATGCATTTTTAACTCAGGCGACTCCTAAATATTTAAGCGACAGATTTGGGCGACTCTTATGTTTAGTGAAAACGGGCATAACGTGTTGATTGTTTTTATTTAATTAAGAGGAGAGCAAGGTAGCTCTATTGAAGGTTTAATATAATACTATTTGACTCATTCACAGTACAATTTCTTTTTTGATTTATTGAAACGTTTAAATAAATTATTTTAAAAATACATTTGACTTATTTATTTACTCCTGGCTACCGTAATCCATCACCAGTTCAACCAACCCCAACCCCAACAAGAAGAGTGAATTATTCCCTTTGATTTACATAATGAACTAACTGTGATATGGATTGAGATTTTATTTGGCTAATTAGTGGACCTGGTATATAACGCCAACTTTCATCTATACTTATAATAAATCTGTAGAGAGGTCAATTCTGTACATGAAATATATTTCCAAAATAACTATCAGGGGGTTATTAGGGATCGATACTGATTCCAAAAATGCAATCAGTAAATTTTTTGTCTGTCTGTCTGTATAACCGTTATAGAAACAAAAACTACTCGACGGATTTCAACGAAACTTGGTACAATTATTTTTCATACTCCTAAGCTGGTTATAGTATACTTTTCATCACGCTACAATCAATAGGAGCAGAGCAGTGAAGGGAAATGTTGGGAAAACGGGAGAAGTTACTCCATTTTTTAAGCTTCCGTCGCGTGTGCAACTTTAATGGTTAAAGCTACCCAGAAATCATGTATTACGGAAATGTTCTCCTTAAAATTATATAAAAAATATCCCACGACAGCATATGTCTATCTTTTATGGTTGACTCACAATAACACGTGTAACTCCCGATAGCTTAGCAGTTCGAAGCTTTCTGATTGTATTTGTCTATTGTCTACTCTTACGTTTATAACACTCTCCGTCATCCCTAATTAAAAAAGTAAAATCACGCCGAAACTACTGAACGGATTTTGATGAAATTTGGTATACAGATAGGGTATTAGCTGACTTAGATAATAGGATACTTTTTATCCCACTTAACATTTTCCTAGGGACCACGCGGGAGAAGCCGCTGGTCTCTATTAAAATTCGCATGTTTTTTTAATTTCAATAGCCTCGCGTATTGTTCTAGGGATGAATATTTGTTCAGTTGCAAGAATTTTTGGATTGCCAATCTTATGTAATGCTTGGGTCGACCTAAATACAAACGCGGTGAAACCGTTTGAAAGTTATTTCGTTTGACATTGATTTAATTTTTTTAATAAAAAAATATTCATGATTTGTAGTGATACTGATTTTCATTTTGTCAAAAATTTTGATAATTCACAATCTTTAATCTAATAGATATGAAAATCTCGTATTGCAGTTTAGGTTGTCATACTCCTCCGAGATAGCTTGACCGATTATGATGCCGGTTGAGCTTGTATATATATAAAAAAAATACGTAACTTAGCCTTGAGGTTTAGTTTATTAGTTAGACATAACGATTTTTTTCCAATACATATTTGATATAAAATTTGTATACGATTAAAGATTAAAGTCGCTTAAAAATCATAGGGATGAAACATAAGGAAACAAACATACACGACTGATAAAAAGGAGAGTATTGTGTTTAGGTTTTATGTATGTATATGAGAATAAAAAACTCCTCCTTCAAAAACGTAATCCAATTTCATCGCTTTAGCTTTATTATATATTTTCATTATAATAAAATCTTCATGGATAGATTGAAAAATTTTGATTACATCTTTACAAAGAGAGTTCAAATAGAGGTCAATTTTTATAAAGCTAACCTTTTTATTATTTATAAATACCTTCACTCCTATTTTCATTGCTTTATGTGCTGGTTTTAGGGATGTAACCTTCCTTGAGGCTTAAACTACTTAAATACTAATTTTAATGGTTATTGCCCTAAAATCAAAGGATATTCACACAAACCTTTTCACCCTATTTAACTCTGTTCGGAGTGAAATATCTAAAAATCCATTCTTAGCACAAGATGTGAGTGTCGTACCAAGACGACAGTAGGTCAAAAATGGCAGTGCTCTGTTTACTTTATTGCTCGACTTTGTGGAGGCACTACCGTGTCCCCAAATAAGATGAATATACTCTCCAAATTTCAAGTCTCTACAATCAGCGTTATAAAAAAATAAAGTGAAAAAGACAAAATTATAAATAATTCAAGTTTGTCACTTTGTTTGTAGTGGATAATCTTTAATAATACTAATGCATAAGCTATAACATTGATACATAGGCTATAATTCACTCAGGCGTAATGGCAGGTGATGTAACAAACATTTTACATAAACCTTACAATTCCTATCAAATATCTTGTGAGTGAGGAACCTTGCAATAGTGTAATTTTTCTCTAATTAGGAATTTAATTTAATTAATATAAAATAGTGAAAGTTTTGAGTAATCCAAATTACTCTGAGTCAGACACATTATGTTAATGGTATTTCAAAATATTATGATTATTAGCCAATAAATGTAATTATAATTGAAAATATTCAGTTGACACATCAATGGGATTCCTCATTAAGTTTAACAATTAATTATTTAATGATTTCTTAAACGTTTTTATGTTATATAAAACACGGTTCATGGTAATGTGTTATATCACACTACGTCTTGCTTTCTGAATAGATAGTGCTACAAAGAGTTCTAATAAAAATCAAGGTAAGAATTTAAAATAAATTTCATTTATTTGATAGATGCAGACCTAGTTCTTTAATATTTTTATGTTCATCATAAAGGTATATTTCTTATAAGAACTGAATTTTCCATACAAAAGTTGTCAGTGTTAAATTTGTTTCTGTTTAATATTAATAATAGAGAATGTAATAAGACATACTATATTATTTTTTAATTTTAAACCTATATTTACTGATGTAATAACACATAGTTGATAGAATACCAATAAGGGTTTAAAAGATTAATATTCTAATTTCAGATGATGCGTGTTGTTATCACTTTAAGCCTTCTCCTCGCAGTAGTTCTTGCGGACCCAGTACCCAAACTTTCTTCGTCCATTGATGTAAGTATTGATAATTATTTCATTGCTTTTGTCTTTATAATTTAAGTATACTATTCCATGTTGATATATAATTTAAGTATACTAGCTTTTCGCCAGCGATTTCCCCCGCGTGGTCCTGTATTATACATATAAACCTTCTTCTTAAATCACTCTGTATGATGAAAAACATATTAAAATTCGTTGTGTAGTTTAGAAGATCTTAGCGTACAGATAGCTTGACACCAGGAAGCGACTTTGTTTTATAATATGGATAGATAAAATTCAATATGTATCTATATCTTTAAATATTTTAAATTACCTGTTTCAGGATTTGGAAACATCTGGGTATGAAGTTAAAGGCACTGACAGTAAGCGTGTGGCCCGACTAGCGCCTGATACAGTGTCTTTACTGTTTGATATCTTTAGCTCCATAATTGGAAAGAAATTTGTAAGTATAAATTAAGCATTTCAAACTAATTATAAGATTTATAATACGTTGTTTCTATAAAAGGTACATGGTAACAATCCAGTATTAAACAATGATTCTAATATAACATTGATAGTTTTACTATTATACAACGAAACAATTGTTTTATACTTTTTTCTTTCGAATAGAGAAATATACTTTTCTTTGGTTTGACTACGTTGTAATTTGTAATAATTTATTTTATTGACCTTTAAAGAAACATTCAATTTTGTTATTGGTCGAGATACACATGTTTTATTAATAATTTGTTTTTTTTTTCTTCAGGACGCTCTCAGTCTCGCCGTATCCGCTATCCAATGGTTGGTGTCCAACTGTTTAGTGGTCGTACTCGGAGCAATCTCGACGCTAGGGTTTTGCAAGTTCACCGGCTCCTGTTCACTGAGCTACGAGGATATTCTTCCCGTGTCCCAGTTAACCAGCTATATCACTCCGGAACATATCCAAACAGCTGAAAATTTCCTCGCCAGTGCTGTAGAGAAATACGCGGATGAGAGAAGAAGATCGTACAGCCCAATTAATTATTAATTTTAGTTCTAAATTTATTATGAATGCAAATCGGCCTGGCTTGACGTATTACGTAGGCGATATCTTACTGAAGATAATTCCTATACAACGATGAAAACATGAGGTTATCACGAAATGTGTTGCGGTTTATGAAGCCTCAGGCACAGTGACATACAGAGGAGATGAAAGAACTTAATTTATATACTTAATCATAAATAAATTATTTAAATACAATGTAGTTGTTTGAATTCTTTATACTATTAAGACTTTTTTATTTGTTATCATATCAGTCATACTGTTGAACTTTCTTTGTTCACAAACTATGTTTAATTCTTATCTGAACGCGTGATGTTTGGAAGAAAACGTATTTCTTTTTCTTGAGTGACTTTTAAATAAATTACCTTGAATAAATTAGTTTGATAAAATAACCTTCAGACTTTCGTATGTTTAAATTCTGATTATTAAATCACTTTCTGAAATAGAATCACAATATAAATTTTTTTGAAACAATTTTTATTGTCAAACATTGTAAAGATCACTTTTAAGACTACAATATTACACTACTCAAATATATTATGAAAATATCTTTATAATTTGTAAAATATGATCCAAAGTTTTGCTTATATTTTTTAAACATTATTTGCATACTTAACCTAAACTAATGGTAATTTCAATGTTTTATTTGACGAAGTTAAGTAAATCATTTCTTTTTGGGAATCAAATTATTACTTTTGGATTTGTGGTAAACTTTGTGGCAATAGCAGAGCAGCAAAAAATTTAAACAAAATTAATAAGGCTTATTCCCACGTTAAGGAGTAATACTAATAGTAACTAACTAAAAAAATAAACCTTGTTAAACAAGGGAAAATGTATTATTGAGAACGATTTAAATGAATTCATGATAATTTTGTAAATATTATGTTTTTTGATAAACAAAGCCCATTTAAAAAAAAACGGTTTCGCACGTCGAGAGCAGCGCTGGCCTGGCTCAATGCTTCAATGAAATAAAACCTTGAATTAAAAGGCTTGATTTAATTGAACTATGCCATGAGAGTACTGCGTCAATGTAGTATTCGAAACACATAACAGCTTTACATATGTGCTCTTAATTTTTAATAAAAATACACTTTTTTGGACAGTCGTGTAGAATTAGAAAAATCACATAGGTATTGTTAGACTAAAAATATTAAAAATCTCGAACATCACTATTGATTGCATTATGGGAATCACTATTTGTCAGTGAGCTGTCACTGTTACTTTGACATTGACATAAGATGAAATTCGCGACTAGATACCGCCGGTCGTGAATTAGAATTAGTCTTAATTGGAGTCTGATTTAAATATAAAATAAAGTTATTTTAAACAGTTTTTATCGTAGTAGTTTTTAATAGTGTAGCATATAACGTAATTTGCCTTTATTAGTTATTTGAGATGCTTTCAATTGTACCTTAACATATTGATACAACTCAAGGGCGTAATACGTTATCATGATCACTTTATCTTTCATGAAGATTAGTCTGATAGGTGATTTAAAGAAGTGAATAGAGCTTATCTACCCGACGGCTCTGTGTTGTACATAAAGTAAAACAATATGATGATACGAATCGACCAATTTTCGATTTTGAATTCTACTATGGCGTATTTAAGTCATAAGGTGGACTTGTCAGTTTCATAGTATTTAAGCATCGGTTATTAACTAAACCTTTAATGTGAAGTAGAAACGTGTATGATAATTTGAATTTTAAATATTGATTTGGTAGTGGGGGCTCGCTACGTCGCGACTATGTAGAAAATATACAAAAGGTATATTTTCATGACGTCATGCGTACGCGTCAATGTAGTACACGGTAATTTATTGATTACGCAAAACGAACACGTGTTTAATATTTTCAATAATCTACCTGCCCGATAAACAAAAACAAGTCTTATTCTGTAAAAAAAATGCGTCGAGCATAGCGCTATCGTACCATAGAGGTTCTATTAAATAATACCTTCATCTCTTTGAAATCTGTTTTAAGGATAACCTCTAAGCTGTGACAGTGTAAAATAAAAAAAAAACTACTAACTTCTGTTCACTCTCAATATACGAACAAGTCGATGCCAACAATAGACGTGACTCATTCTTCATTCGGCCTTCATGTACTTGTCGCTATCGCGTAATAACAGACTGGTACTCATAAACATTTATGTGTAAGTGGTGCATTTCACTGAGACACGGTTGCATTGTATTTTTTATACTAGTATCACGGAAACTTGGTGATTTTACTATTTTCCTTGCATTTTATTTATGTTTTCACACCTTTTAAACTTTTCTTGGGCTTCTACATAAAAATAAAATAATCAGAATTTGCCAAATTAGCCCAATCCATTCTCGATTAATGTCACTAATAAACTTCATTTCGTTTTGATATCTGTGACGATGATTATATCATAAAAATTTATGACCAATATTATAATAATGATAATGAAAAAATGTCTATAACTAAATGATGAAAGTTATTTTGTTATGAAATATTTTAAAATCAATTATTAATAAGGAGAAAGAATTATCCCAATATGAATTGTTATGGAAACCTTTCACCTGTTTCAAATATTTCTAAATGAAATATTGTCATAAAAATAAGGAATTTTTTTTTGTTTCAAAATTCAAATCCATTGTCATGAAAAAATATTTGAATTGACTTCAAAGGTAATAACTTCCCTTATATACTCGTACAATGTAATTGATTGCATCAGTGACGCAAATTATTTACTTATAAATAAATAAAAAAGAAAAATTAAGTTTAATAAACGTACATTCGATATATTTGTTTCGTTAATTATTTTATATTTAATGGAGTTTTACGAATTATCAAGCTAATATAAATGACGTCAACTCTATGCTTTAAAGTAGTTTTGTATTATTACAAACACAGTTTGCACAGATGGCTTCTTAAGATGAGTAACGAAGCTAAATGATGTCACACATAATTCATTCCCTATTAGTAAGTTTATATTTTTAGTTATTATACATTTTAAGATTAATAATCAAACTTAAGGTTAAGGTTCTAAAGCATTATAAAAATATCATTCTTCAAATTATGTGTAAATTGTAGCCTATGCTATCCGCGTATGGTGATGCTTTCCATAGGCGAAAGAATTTTCAAAATAAGTTCAATAGTTCCGCAGTCTTTTCAATGCAAACAATCATACAATCAAATCTTTCCTCTTTATAATATTACTATAGACAACGACTGACAATAGTATTTCAAAGGCAATACGTTAATGGTTAAGGAGGATAGGCCAATGATCCTCCACGTTGGCCCGATGTGGATTGAGGGTATTGCGACTGCAAATACAGCCAGGACCAACGGCTTAACGTGCCTTCTGAAGCACGGAGTAGCTCGAGATAATAATTTTTTGGTCTCCCATCCCGTGACCGACCCTTGCGAAAGATGCTCAAGAACAACGATTGCGGCGCGCGCTTATCCACTACGGTACCGAGCTGCTTGCGAGCTAAAATTTCAGTATTACTCATATAACTACGTCATTGTACGCTATTCGAGCGAATTGTTTTGAACTGATCGACTTCTGACATCATTTGCACTTCAATATGACCCGCGTGCCTCCGAATATAATTATTGATACCGAGTAGCTTCACACATCAATACAATGTGCAGTGTGACGAACTTGTATCCGGTCAATGTAATATTCATACGGGCATGTGTGTCATTGCCGCGTTATCTTTATAGTTAGTTAGTTAGACTGCATTTATATATGTTTTGACCGGCTATCTTAACGCCAGTTGTTATTACGCTTTCACTTTGACGCCTGAACGTTCGTATATTGTTTTAATTACAGGACGTTGAACGATAGCTAGGCTATTTTTTATTGGAGTATATTAGTCTTATGCGAGATTCCGGCCGAGATGGGCAACACGAGAAGTAAGAAAATGAAACTAGTAAGCGGTGTCGAGGACAATGAAGATAGAGGTCGAATTAGTTCTTTGAAAACTGATATTTCTGATGCTTCAGTAGTGAAGAAAGAAGAGAACAGTGAACAGAAAGATAAGGATACGGACAATGCAAGTAGCGCATCTACAGTGGAAGTGCTAGATGACAAGTGATTAAGTGTATGAAATAAGTTTCTATATAAATAGTCATGAAGATAAGTGAATACTAATTTGGAAAATGAAATGAATCTACTTTGTCATAAGTATGTGTAAGGTTTTATCAGCCAAATGTACGCTAGTCTCATATTTTAAATATTATTACTTTTTAATATTAAAGTTACGAACAGTTCATAGAATTGCTCAATAAATAATTTATTTTTTCCATTTTATTTGCTTTATTAATTTTTAAATTACAGAAAGATATCCTTATAATGGTTAAATAAAAGATATCCTTAAAATGGACAACATATAAAGATAATCATATAAGAAAAATCTAACAAAGATACTTTTTCTCATAGATTATTTTGTTTCTTATAATCATTATATTATTTTTTTTACTTTATACCTTGATGTTTAAATACTAAATTTCATTTATGACCGCATATTGTAAAGTACGTCTAAGAACTTTAATACACTGGTTATACTTTTATTTAAATTATTAGGTAGTTTAAATTAAAGCTAATTTATCAGCTACATGAATCATGATGAATAAGAAGCCAGTTAAGTTAATCAGTAATTTCACATAAATGACCTGAAAAAAATTACATTGTGAATTCAAAACTAATGAGTTAAGACAAAGAACTTTAAATTGCTTTCATCTCAGTTGAATCGTCAATACAGATGTCATAGTTTAGTAGTGTAGGTATTATTTCACTCACAGGAGTCGCTTACTCAAGGTGAGTAAATATAATAACACACAGCAACACAAACGGTGATCGGAAAAGTAAAATTTCAAGACTTTAAGTAAGACTTAACGACTGAATTGAGAAAAGTGCAAAATCTGAACTGAATATTCTCAATGACTTAAGTTTTTTACGTTTTACACGACAAGAAGTCCTAGTTTATCTAATTGCTATCATTTATCATTAAA